ACACGGTCGAATGCTTTCGAAATGTCCAACGCGACAGCTAGAGATTCCCCGTGTTTTTCTATTGAAGATTGCCATAAATGGGTGACGTAGGCAAGTAGATCTCCAGTAGATCTTCGGTGGCGAAAGCCGTATTGTCTATCATTGATGATTCCTGAGCTCTCCAGATATTTGATAAGCTCAATATTGATGGCTTTCTCCATCACTTTGGAGATTACTGATAACAGGGCAATGGGCCTGTAGTTGTTGGGCAGGTTCTTGTTCCCTTTTTTGGGGATTGGTTGGACTCTAGCTGTCTTCCAGCATGATGGAAAAATACCCGACCTGAACGAGATGGTAAACAACTTGCAGAGAATCGGTGTTAATTCTGGTGCACATTTTTTGAGGATAATGGGTGGAATTCCATCAGGACCGTTAGCCTTATTCGTTTTGAGACCAAGCAAAATTCGTCTGATAGTGCGTTGACGGAAGACGATTTCGGGCATTCGACTCTCAACGGGTGGAATGTCTGGCGGCAGTTTTCCTTGGGAATCTAAAGTAGAGTTTGCTGCGAACATCTCTGCAAAAATATGTGCTTTCTCCTGCGATGTTGTTGCTAACGTGCCGTCGGATTTGGACAGTGGTGGAAATGAGCTATTAGTGAAATTTCTTCCGACCGCTTTAGCAAGGGACCAAAACGAACGAGAGCCATTGGGGCAATCTATGAGTTTCGATCTTATCTTGGCATTGCATGTTTCTTTCGAAGAATCTATTGTTTGGCTGCAGTTATTCCTGGCATCAACGTATTCTGCTCTAGTCTAGGCTGTTTGTTTCAAGGCAACAGTTCTAGAACAGTTTTTGTTGAACCAGGGTTTCGAAGGTGATGATTTTTTCGAAAAATGAGGTATGTATGTGTCCATTCCGAGCATGATGATCTCGGATATTTCCGCAGCACACTGTGAAGGGTCCTCAGAGTCAAAGCATACTCTATGCCAAGGAAACTCGGAGAAAAACATGCGGAGACCGTCCCAATCTCCTGAATTGTAATGCCATATAAGACGTGGGGGTGCCGGAGCAGTTGATGGAATGAAAAATGGGCAGGTTGTGGAGATGAGTGTATGGTCAGAATTGCCAAGTGGAGCTCGTACATCTATGGTGTAGGGTGCTGAATTATTAGTGAGGAATAAGTCAAGTATGTTAGCTGAATGGTTATTGACATCGGGAATTCGTGTGGGTTCTTTGATAAGCTGCTCTAAGCCGTGAGTGATGGCGAAAGCTTCGGCTTGTCGCCCAGCTTCATCCGTTCTGTTAGAGTGTACGAGCCAAGCAGTGTTGTGGATGGTTCTGTTGGATTTGGTCAAGCTTCAGAGACAAGAATTCGAAGAGCTCTTCATAGGATGGATCATTTGGTGATAAGTAGAGACAACATAGGTATTTGGTCTGTTTCTGGCTATCGAGTTTGAACCACATGACATCAAACTTGTTTGGTTCCAAAGTTTTTTCTCGTTGACATGAGAGATTCGTTTTAGAGTAGCGGCAGATACCTCCCTTGAATCTAAAACGTGTGTGGAGTTCGTACCCAGGACAGAGCAGATAGGTCGTATTGGTGGATGAATTGACCTGTGTCTCAGTGAGAGCCAATATGTCTGGCTTTTCAATTTGAAGGTGTCGATGGACATCGTTGATGTTCTTACTTAGACCTCGGATGTTACATAGGTCTATCTTGAGGACTTTTTCAGCCGATGGTTAACCCCCTCTAGCACCTCTCGCCCGGAAATCCGAATGGAGAGGTATTTTACTTCCGGATAATTTTACTTGAGGAGAACTCATCATCGCGTATTCTGTATATGCGCAGTGGCAGGCCTGCTAGCTATCCTCGTCAACCCCCGTTAGAGACTAGGGTCCACTAAGCAGCTGGTAGTTTTCCACACCCACCTACATACACCGTCCAACTTCTTCTCTGAGGCTCACAACCACATCATCATCTCTTTCTGCGTGTTCTGTGTAGGCTTTGTTACTAACTCCATGCGCCACTTTAGGAGCAGCACTGTTGATTGGAAAGCAACAGCGAATCGTGCAGGACTATCCCCAGCCGATGCTCGGAAACTTTACAATATTCAATTCGTAAATAAAATATTGAAAAAAAGTTCCTTGCTCGTGCTGGGAATCGAAGCCATGACCTTGCGGTCATGAGACGGACGCTCTTCCACTGCGCTAATCCCGGCTTGATATTAAATACTAACCAGAGAAATAAATAAACTCCTTGAAGAGACTAATATCCAGAAATGATTTGAAATTTGGCAAATGAAGTTATCATTGATATTTTTTGGAGCTATTTTAATAATTCCAGAGGCATATCCACCTGACAAATTGGTTAAATTTTTGCAAAAAAAATAACACCTACTATTTATTTGGTGCAGCAACTATGAAGGGATATATTTTTATGACCTTGGAGCATCCTGAGAAATGTATGTACAGAGTTTCCCAAAAGAACGGGAACGGCCGAATATTTCAGCAACGGCTGGACATAAAATTATGAAATTTGGTATACAGGGGTAATCAGTTGTGCCAGATCTAAATTTTGGATCTAGGGGCTTTTGAGTTCAAGGAATATGATTTCATGATCAAAATTCAGAAATTCAAGATGGTACCCGATTTTGTCATAGATCCTCCATTTTGCCAAAAAATGTTTACTTAGGAGTTTTCAAGAGAGTGAACTATGGATTTTGAATCAATATTTTAAAAATTCAACTTTTGAAGGATAAGACCATTTACCTTAACTAAAATTTAAATTAGATGTTAGGAAATCAACTCAGAAATCAATAAAAAAAGAGAAGTTTATAGGTTTTTGCAAATATATTGGGATAAAAAATGAAGGAATGAAAAAGAGCATGTTTTGCCTGTATGACAAATTGATATTCATCATACAATACCCAATTTCAGAGGATTTTTATTTTTCATGATCTCCTTTTGGATGTTCAACAGATATAATTCAATGTACGCTGTGGCAAATAGCCAGGAAAGTATTTGTTTTCTGTTGAATTATGTGCATACATATTTTTATCTGAAGGAGATTACAAATAAAATTTTGTTTTCAAATTCTTATCAGGTGTGTTCAATAGATATAATTCAATGTTTCTCATGGCATATTGCCAGGAAAGTAGTTGTTTTCTGTTGTGTAAACCAAGAAAAAATTGATATTTTCATCACATACAGAATGCAAATTCCCAATGTATTTCTTTATACATGTATATCCATGTTTTCATTTTCATAATTTATCTCAGAATATAGAACATATATTTTTTTGTCTCAAGAGAAAAATGAGTTTCAACTTTAAACCAATTGTCCTTTTTTGCATTAAACAAATTTGTAGAACTCTGCAAGACATTTTAAAGGGAATCACAACAATAATTATACCCCACTAGAAATGCCACTGGCTAGATGGTTTGTCTTCCAAATAGGTACTAATTCACCAAACAAAAATAAATTTAATCTTATAATCTAGTGATTGTGTGGTGTCATTGAAACAAAATCAATTTTTATTCACATCTTCAGAACACCATAATGATAATTCTACAAAACATTTCCACCCAATATATCAGGTTTACCTATGACAACCCAAATTTCAACATCAACTAATATCACTGTATCAAAAATGAAGGTATTTTTGTCTGAAAAACATGAATTTGATAACAAATTTCACCTTTTTTCATTGGACAATTTATGAATCACAATGTACAGGGTGGCCAACTAAGAATCCATATTTCGATACCTCTGTTGTCTTGAGAGATACAAAATAAAGTTTCACATTCAAATTAAAATGATAACTGAGCTTCACATTTCAATATTTCTTTAAAATACACAGGGTGTTCCATAAGGTCACAGCACATCAAAGCTATGTTTTTTTCATTGGAACACCCTATATTTTATTACATTTTTGAATTCTCCCTGAAGATCTGATTTCAATGACCCATCATACTTAGGGTCTAGCAGTGAAAGTTACTGACATATAGGGTGTGCAAAATCAAGTTCAGGATTTTTTTCTGTCAAAACTGTTCATAGTTGGTCAAAATGGTTTACATGTCCCTATCTCAACTTTTCACTCACTATCAATTGGTGTTCGATTGACATTTAATTAAAACAAATTATAAATTTAAATTTTTTGACCACCTTGTATCAATTTCAATTGAACACCAATTGATAGTGAGTGAAAAGTTGAGATAGGGACATTTAAACCGTTTTGATGAATAATGAATAGTTTTGACACCAAAAAAGGTCCTAAACTTGGAAAATCTTGATTTTTCACACCCTTTATCTCCATAAATATTACTGCTAGACCCCAAGTATGATGAGATGTTGAAATCAGCTCTTCAGGGAGATTCCATGAATGAAATAATATATAGGGTGTTCATATGAAACAAACATGAATTTGATATGCTGTTACCTCATGAAACACTCTGTATGTTCCAAAATGATTTTGATATATGCAGCTTGGTTATTACTTCAATTTTGATACAAGACTTTTTTTGTATCTCTCAAGACAACAGAGAAATCAAACTCTGGAGTCGTAGTTGGCCACCCTGTATTTCAATGACCTTTTTTTTATTATGTGAGTCAACTAGAAATGATTTTCTTGTGATTTATCCATATTCAGTTGAAAGAAAGAAGAATATCATTCAAAAACTCACCATAAAAATCATACTTCATGTTGAATTTTCTATATAAAAATGTGTCATTGAAGTACATCATGAGTATATAAAGTGTCCAATGCCAAAATAAGAAGAGCAAGTAGCTGTAAATGCATCCAACACAGGTGGCAAAATTTCAAACTTTTCCATGAAATATCTGGATAAACAGTGGTTTGTTCACATTTTCATTGTCAAATTCGTGTTCTCAAACAAGAATACATAAGTACCAAAAAACAAATCCAAAAAAACCTATCCCATGATAAGTGCAGTTTTACCAAAATGAAAAAAAAAAAAAGTATATAAAACACACTCTAGTTGACTTATGATTATTCTTACCTGTCATAGTGAATGTTTTACCAGCCCCTGTAGCACCATATGCAAACACAGAGCAGTTGAATCCACCCATAAGCGAATCAATAAGGGAATAAGTGGTGTTTTTGAACACATCCTCTGTAATAGATTCCTGAGAAAACACCTTGTCAAAAACAAACTTCATATCCTTGTGTGCCTTTTTGAGAAAGTCCCTGTTTTTCTGCTGCACCCCATGGAAGAAAAAACCTTGTGTCTCTTCTTTTGGGTCAAATATGAGCATCTGATCATCCACAACTTTGACAACACACCTGAATAGTTCAAAAATACAAATGCATCATAGCTAATGTACACTGCACTGTGATAAATTCCATGAATGAAAATACAGATATTGCTTGGAATAAATATAATGTTCATAAGGAAACGTTGAAACATTCAATTAAAATTACAAATAACTGTTGTGACAATGTAGACAGGAATGATGACTCACCTGTGATTTTCATCCTGTTCTTTTATATTTGGAGGCCTGACTCTGACCACTACTCTTATGTTTGCAACAGCTGGAGGTTGTACAGTGCTAGCTGCTGAGTTTGGACGAGAAATAACTTTGGCAATGGTTCGATCAAATGTACGTTTTTTCGTCATAGACACCCTCCTCCTGGGAGTTGTTGTGTCGCGTTTGCTTTTCCCCATATTATCGAGGGTACTTTGTTCCACCAGGATAACGTTGATTTACATGGGTGACGGTGATGAAAATGAAAAAATTACGGAATAGTGTCTGCACTTCGTTTTCTTTATCTTGCTCTTGACAATCAACAACAAAAGTAACAAAACTCGAAAACTGCGTCCGTTACGGTTACTACTTTCAAATTTTTCACGCTGCACTGACATAGAACGTAGAATTGCAGAACTGATCACAGAACTACAGAACATGAAAAGTATAAAAACATTCTATGCTCTGAATGGTATATAAAAGAAGAAGTGCCTGGATCCCTCGATAAAAAAAGCGCGAGAGGATCGAGGAAATTATGTTGGCTTCACTCCGAAGTGAAATCACAGGAATCACAGTATACACCCATTCGTGCTTTGAAAAAACAAAAAGAAATTTATCTCTGAATCCTGAATACCAAATAAGTCTTTTCAGTTTTGTTTCAAGCAGGTGTCAGATAATTTTCCGAAAAATATACTCCCTAGAAAAAACGTTCATTCAAGCCGAGCTTGGTTGAATTGTTTAGGAAAAGTAGTGTTAGTTGTTTCCTCAATTGATTTTCCGAAGAATATACTTTTTCTCCAAGCGGCATAAAAAGTGGCTTTTCTATGACACTTAACAGGCAGCAAAGGTGTACTTTCTCTGTCTAGGCAAAAAAGTTTGTTGCTATGCAACGTTCCAAGAAATTTGAATGAAATTGTTTATCGAAATTGATACTGAACACAAAATGATGAAGTTTTCAATGAATGGGGCAATGAACTCAATGTAAACAACTTATATTGAGTTCAATGGTCTAGGGCTGGGTCTATACTAGTCTATCCCCTCTCTCTCGACGCTGACGTCACACTAGTATATAGGTTGAGATTTCACATCAGTCCGTACTGATGCGTTCGTAATTGATATAGGCTATCCTATAGCTCATTTACTATAAATTTTAGAAGCACACTCAATCGAGTCGAAATGATCCCCAACAAATTCCTCAACTTTTGGTGAAAAAATGAATCCAATAGGATGAATCGATACCGAGTTATGGCGTTGTAACGAAATTCCATTTTATTGAAAATCAGGACGTTGTACTACAGAATACTATTTTTTGCAAATTTGGCATTGGAATAAGATGAAACTAACTCGATATATCAAACTACGATAATGAATCAATAAAATAGTGAAAAAATTGTAGAGTTACCTACAATGAGTCCGAAAGAAATTAAAAATAAAGAGCGCGTAAAAATGGGCCGTTATACCTACCTACCCAAATTTCGCTGTATTACGATTTCGCGGTAATTCCTTGGACTGGTAAAGGGCGATAAACTTTTTATTACTCATTTTATTTCTGCATGGCGTATGGTTCTGACCAACTAATATTGGTGTCTGAAAAATTCGAAACAATATTTCTACAATGTAAGTCACAACATAAAGTTTTGGAGAATTTAGCAGAAGTTAAAATCAATTCCCTTCTCAATTATTTCGAGAATCAATGTTGCAATTGTGGATCTTTTGATTTAATCAGCAGAAAATTATCTAAAACCATTTCAAATATTCTGTTGAACAATTATTGCAAAATGAAAAAAAAGAAAAAAAAATCACTAAACCTTCAGGATGAGATATAGTTCAGATTTCAATTTTTAGTTTGTGATCAAGATGATGTATATATATTTTTTGTTATTAGTGTATTTCATTTTGTGATATCTTTCAATTTTTTTTATTTTGTTATGTTGATTATTTTTACACTTTATTTTGTTTGGTTTTGTTTGTGTATAAGGATTCAACGTTTTTTTTTTTCATTTTTCCCTTATTCATTCATATATCGTTGTTCTGGGTATTTTGTTATTCAGTTCGTTATACTCATTTTTATATCACTCATTGTTGTTATTTTTGTTAGGTTGTGTTCATATGAACTCCACATATTTTGTTCTTTTTAATTTTGATAGTTTGCAAATATATTCAAATCAAATTGTTTTCATGAATTTAACGTTATCATTCAAATATATACTCTTCAGCAGAAAATAATTGATACCGAATATGCGTTTTTGTGTAATAACACACTCGAGTGATAGGATAGAGATAAACGCTGCTAAAACCCTTCGAGATAAAGTGGATGTGTATTATACCGATTTGTAGGCAATCAAAATTCGTACAAAAAAGTCAGTGACAGCATATATCCATAGTTGATAGGATTAGCATGGGAGGCGTCCGAACTTTTTGAACTATTCTGTAATGAACACCTGAATCATCGTTCTACTTGAATTGAAATATCGGTTTGTTGTTGGCCCTTGTGAATTAAAAAAAAACTCTGTCAATCTAGATACTATGCGAAATCTTTTCATGGTTGAATCATTTCTGTGAATTGAATATTGGAATTTTGGTAGCTGTTTGAAAAAGGACAATTCGGAATGGCGTCAATTAATTTTGATATGCCATATTTCTGAAATTAATGATCGTAAATCAGTGAAATTTGATTCATCTTCTGGAAAATTCTTTTCTGTACATATTTGACCTCTTGATATTTTTCGCTAACTGTGACCGTTTTCCAGAGGTAAATCAATGAAACGGGAGAGACAATTTCCACTGCTTTGATTTTGTCCCTATTAGTGTGACGTCATGAATCCGTGAGATAGATTAGGCGATATTTAGCCGTCATTGATTCAACTGTAAATAGGAATGACCTCTACTAAACGGTTGTAGGACTTGTAGGTCGGGTACAATTTTGAAACGCGCCTTCGCGCCTCTATACTGTGCTGCCACTGCTGTCACTTCTCAAGATTATTTATATTTTGACTTTTATTTTTTTTTCATGTTCATATTCTTTGTTTAATCAAATTAATTATCAATTTGTATTTGTATTGATGCAAGTCCATATCAGATAAGATTGTTAGAAAAGTGGAGAAGTTTGCTCAGTGATATCATGTTATAAATAATTATAAGTAGGTACTTGACTGATAATACATACACAGAGTTCTCTTCATTTTCTTCCAGGTGTTCAAGCAGTGATATTAAAAATCCGCCCCCTAGAACATTGGGCCCAAATTCAGAATTTTGCTGGATAAAATACTGCAACATGTCTCTTCCTCAGCCACTGGTGAAATTATTCAAGTAAGTGTGCCCATAATTTACTTGATAAATCTACTTATATAGGTAGGCACTTGAGTATAAGTACTCAGGAACAACATACTATTATGTTCACCTCTTCTGGTGAATTAAATATAAAAACCAGGAGTTGACACTATTCAGAATTATTATGAACCACCCTGTATTCGTTCAAATTAAATACCAGTGGATAGTAAATCAAAAGCTGAGATAGGGACACAAAAAATCCTAAAGCTGTAAAATCTCGATTTTGAACCCCCTGTATCTCTGTAATCATTCCTGCTAGACCCCAATTGTGATGTATTGATGAAATCAGCTCACAAAGGAAAATCCGAAAATACAATGAAATACAGGGTGTCCCATGAGAAAAAGTATAACTTTGATACATCACGCATTTTTGAGTCTTCCTGTATAAGGCAAAATATTTTAAAAATGTGCTGCTCATGAGCCTAGACCAGCTCATACATTTTTGTTCATTTATCTCAAACAGTGAAGCCATTACCTCAATTTCCCCATTCAATGACTTGCCCTGTATGTATAGAGTTTGACTGGGAGTTCCACCAGGGTAACTTTGGAACACCACATGGTCACATATGCATTACATTTTCATATGCATTGAATCACATGATGCCCCAAAGTTAACCTGGATGGACTAATGTTTATACAGTGTGTCCCACTTACCATGCTCACCATGGGTATCTTTTTAACGGTGAGAGATACGAGGTCGGTAATGACACCAAATGTGGAGTTTGTCAAGGCCAACTATAATGTGAAAAAATATTTTGATAAAATCTATTCGTTTTTCTTTTGTATGCAAAAAACAGATTTTGATCATTTTCATGTCTCCTCCATAACTTCTTTATTTATGAAAATATCCAAATAGGAATTTCACATTCTCATGGCAGTTTTTCAAAGTGATTTCTAAAAAAATATGAAATTTATACCAACTCTTCTAGAATTTGAGATATCAGCACCAACTTTAGTTTTTGAAATGTAGGTCATAGGTCTCAAACTCTACCACAGTGTGAGCGAACTAACGGATTGTATAGACCTGCAAAAGGATTTGGATGGTGTCATGGAGTTCTGTTACATAAACGACCTACAATTGAATGAGGGCAAATGCAAAATGATGACGTTTACTAGAAAAAAAAATGGTGATTCAAGGAAATTATTCTATTAATAACACTGTACTGGAGAGACTTGATTATATCAAAGATTTAGGGGTTATTTTCAATGGTGCTTTCAATTTCATAATGCACATTGAATATATAGTGAAAGATGCCTACCGGAAACTCAACTTTGTTCTTAGAAATACTAACAAGTTCAAATGGAATACTTTATCAGTCCTGTACAATGCATATGTTAGATCTAAATTAGAGTATGCCTCAACTATTTGGAATCCCACTACAGCTACTCACTCTGAGATGATAGAGAAAGTTCAGAAGAAATTTTTGAGATGTTTATTCTTTAGGAAAAATGGCATTTCTTCATTCATGGTTTCCTATAATACCCAAAGACTGCAACTGAATGTTGATTCATTGTCTCATCGAAGATTTTTAAATGATGTGGTATTTGTAATAAATGTTCTTAGTGGACATTTAAATGTACCTGAATTACTCTCTATAATACCTATAAGTGTTCCAAATATTAGTCTTAGAAGAAGAAACATTTTATTTAAAGTTAGCAATTCTAGTACTTCTCTAAACAGGTGTCTGATGAATGTTAACTCTTTTAATGTGAATAATGATGTTGATATTTTTAATATGAATTCTTGTGATATTTTTAGATTTTGATGCATATATATATATTGATAATCATTTTTTTTTTGTTAAGATGTTTTTTGTATCGTATTTTTGTGCATTTGCATACTGTTTACTATATATTATTATTCTACAACTGTGAACATGTAAAAGGGCTTTGCCTGTTTGTTTTGCAGTATAAATAAATAAATAAATAAAATAAATGAAATAAAAATAGCTCACTATGACTTAGTTACAAATAACTTTTTTTTCTCTTACAGATGGTATGTTGCAGTAATAGTTTTGTGTTGATAACAACAGAGTTATCGTCATTTATACAAAAACAAAAAATTATTCGGAAGCCGCCATCTTGAATTTATGAATTTTAACAAAAATATCATGATCTCCGACCTCAAAAACCCCCACTTACCAATTTTGAATGGAATCGGACCAAATCTTGTCCGCCATCTTGGAGCAGCCATTTTTTTTATTTCAACAAAAATTCCATAATGTATTGTCACCGAAATTATAAACACCTGCCAAATTTCAATTTAATCGGAGTTATGGAATTTTTGTTGAAATTAAAAAAAATGGCTGCTCCAAGATGGCGGACAAGATTTGGTCCGATTCCATTCAAAATTGGTAAGTGAGGGTTTTTGAGGTCGGAGATCATGATTTTTTTGTTAAAATTCATAAATTCAAGATGGCGGCTTCCGAATAATTTTATGTTTTTGTATAAATGACGATAACTCTGTTGTTATCAACACAAAACTATTACTGCGACATACCATCTGTAAGAGAAAAAAAAGTTATTTGTAACTAAGTCATAGTGAGCTATAACCTACATTTGAAAAACTAAAGTTGGTGCTGGTATCTCAAATTCTAGAAGAGTTGGTATAAATTTCATATTTTTTTAGAAATCACTTTGAAAAACTGCCATGAGAATGTGAAATTCCTATTTGGATATTTTCATAAATAAAGAAGTTACGGAAGAGACATGAAAATGATCAAAATCTGTTTTTTGCGTACAAAAGAAAAACGAATAGTTTTTATCAAAATATTTTTTCACATTATAGTTGGCCTTGACAAACTCCACATTTGGTGTCATTTAACCGACCTCGTATCTCTCACCGTTAAAAAGATACCCATGGTGAGCATGATAAGTGGGACACACTGTATAACTAAGTTCCAAAATAAATTTGTTTCCCGCAAGTCATTTGTGGACTTGGTTGGTTGCAGAAGAACAGATTAAAATACATACCAATTAGAAAATATTAATCAAAATAATGAATTCTAATGATAGTTGAATTCCATTGATGAATATTTGACAATAATAATAATATATGTTTCAACCTGGCTAGACCTCAAATGGAAACATCCATGTTGGGATTTATTTCCTTGCCTCACATGTTCTAAAATATTTTGATGGTAGAAGAATATTTTCTTACTGTCAGATTTAATTGCACTCATTTAATGAAATGGAAAAACCCTTCAGCCTTCAGGAAAATTTATCCTGAGATAATCAATTTGAAGACTATCTAAGGGGTAGTCACCACCCTTCTAAATTTAAAGAAATTATAAACCCTCAGAAAAGTTTAGACAAGTTGATATTCTGTGACACTACTTAATAGGTATATAACATGTTCTGGGATGATCAATTTGGTTAGTTACCACATTTCCAAGCATTGAAGAAAAATAAGGTACCAAACAGAATAATAATAGGTTAGATCATACAGGTGTATGATCTAAGATCTAAGGCTGCAAGTATTCCGATCTCCCCTCGGATTCCCCATATTATGCATTCAAACCATTCCCAAACCTCATTGTCAGATTGGTCACAGTGAATCACGTGATACATTATGGACGCATGCACATTCGCTTGTAGAAAAACTAGAGTTATTAACGAGATCCTCGGGGTATCATCATCATTTGGATATAATATGTAGAGTTGAATGAGAAATTACATGTGGAAATTACATATGATACGCCAATGTCCTCAATATAACCTGAAAAACAACAAATGTCAGAAATCTAGTGTGTATCCCCAGAAATGAATAAAGATGGAACTATATAACTGTTTCACAAACACTTTAGAGCATGAGGAGACGAGGATCTGACCGTACCCTGTTAAGATGACAAATACGTCAATTTACATCAAGGAACCCCAGATCGAGGCAGATCAAATATCTTGAACTAAATGAAATATCGAAAAACATATACAGGGTGACCTAATGAATCAGAGCCAGATCAAAATCTTATTGATGGAAATTGAAAAAATGTACAGTGTGTTCGAGACGAATGAATATCAGAAAAAACATATACAGAGCGATGACCGATGACAGATGACGGTTGAAGACCGGTGACAGATGACCGATGACGTGTAACAGTTGACGTATGAGTTGGATGAAAAATGAATACATATACAGTGCGTTCGGGACGAATGAATATCAGATAAAACACAGAGCGACCTTCAAAACCAGAGGCAGATCAAATAACATGAACCAAAAAGAATCAGATCCAGATCAAAATCTTATTGATGGAAATTGAAAAAATATATGGTGTGTTCGAGACGAATGAATATCAGAAAAAACATATACAGAGCGACCTACAAAACCAGAGGCAGATAGAATATCTTGAACCAAATGGAATATTATTATTTATCACAGGGTGACCTGAAGAATCAGAGCCAGATCAAAATCTTATTGATGGAAATTGAAAAATTACTCAGTGCGTTTGAGCTGAATGAATATTAGAAATATCATATACAGAGCGAGCTGAATTCCAGAGGCAAATCAAATATCTTGTACCAAATGGAATATTATAATTTATTACAGGGTGAGCAGAAAAACCAGCGGCAGATTAAAATCTTATAGATGAATATTAAAAAAATACACAGTGTGTTTGAGACGAATAGGTATTAGGAAAAAACATATACAGAGATACCTACAAAACCACCCCAGAGCGCAATATTGCAGTCCAACATTGAAATCACTTTCCCAAATTTATTTGCATAATGCATAATGTAGGCTCATGTTTCCAGAACGTTGGTAGGTTAATTGATTCAATTGATTCTTGATCTTTCTTGGAATGTCCAGTTGATGTGTCTTCTGAGGAGATGATGTCATGAGGCATGATATTGTTAGGAAATGTTGAACTTTCACGATGTTTTTCCAAAATATCGAGTCTTGCTTCCAACGAATCATATTTTTTATTATTTTCATCAAATTTGACGATCAGAATTTCGCACAATTCTTCAAGTCTATCGAT